GAAGACACTCATCTGTGTAAAGTGAAGCACAAGCACATAGTTAAGTCTTTACAAAATTGCCTCCCAGTCTTAGACAGCGACTGCCTTTGGGGAAAAAAAAAAAAAGTATAAATATTTCAGAGAACAAAGGTTAAGTGTATGATACCAGCATGTATTAAGTGTTCTAAAAAACAGCATCGTTAGTATAAATAATTTGAACATGTCTCAAGGACAGATTCAGACCTGACTTTGAAAAATTCAGTGTAACAAACTATACAGTCTTTTATCTACACTGGATTTTAGGAGATGCATTGGCACAGATTTTTATCCCAAGATTAAGGCAGTTTTGTAAAATGTAACATTTAGTTTTCAAGTACTCTTAAAATTATGACACTTTCAGTAGTTCAGCAACAGCTAAAAACTAAGTCATTTCTCAAAAACTTTTACTAGTTTCTCTTTTACTAGGAAGAGTTGTATGCAAATATGTACTTCTAGATTTCTGAAAAGGGGAGACGGACCATTTCCCTAATTCGTTTCGGTTCTCATAGATCTGAGATTTGTTTTTATAGGCTTAAGGAGTAGACTCAAACAAAACAAACAGTTCTGCTGTTGAAACTCTGCTAAATGATTGGGTATCAGCTAATAGCACTACTCACCATTTTAACATCCACTTCTCTGTGCCAATAGTTTTGATAAACTTCATCCAGATGTGATGCATCTCCCACACCGGGTATCTCTTTAGGTTTGATTTATGTGGGGAAATTTCAGCTAAAACACATCAACTATTTCTGAATTCAGGACAAGCAGGAAAATACAGTTTGCCTAAGTTAAAAAAAAAAATCTTGCAACTTTTTATTTGAAAAGCTGTACTGCTCTCATACTCTAAGGAGGAGCTTTCATTTCATGGCAAGTTTTGGAGATAGGAATACATTGCAGTATTCTTTTAACACAATTTTCAGATGTGACATATATACATTACATTTCCACTCTTAAAAAATACACCTACTCAAAGTGTTCCTTGCTAAATTCTTTTCATTTATTTTAGATGGATGGGCTTTTAAAAACAATGTTGTTATTAAAAATCACAGAAGCCTTAAAGATCGAAAAACTGCTGCACAATTTCTTCAGGAAAAGAATCCTTTATGTCCAGTGGTTTTGGACACTATGGAAAACCTGAGCAGTTCAAAATATGCTGCATTGCCAGAAAGATTATATCTACTTCAAGGAGGGAAAGTCATCTATAAGGTAAAAGATAACAAGAAGCACAATATATTCAGATTTTTAGCTTTCAAAATAAGTAGAGAATGTCTTACATTTTATTTGACAGTCAGGATTCCATTATGTTTCACGGTGAAAAATTTCACGACTCACTGTAACTTTGCAGAGAAGAGCATTAGCAACAAAACCAGCCTGGGCCTTTAAATGTACATATTTGATGTACACCTCAGTCTTGCTCAAATATTTGTCCTCTGGCTCTTTAGAAAAAACTAGGTATGTCTAAATTGCAAGATCCAGGAACATGTCCCAGCTCCAGGATCAAGACGTTGGCCCAGTCCCAGTTACAGCAGGGTGTGACCTGTGCATACACCATCTCCCATGCGATGGCTGCTGTGCAAAGGAAGCCCAAGCACACCTGCTCACAGTTCTGATGCTCTGAAGGACTCCTGTGTGTTTCAACATTACTGTGTAACTTTATTCCCTTTGCAGGGAGGAGTAGGGCCTTGGAATTATTACCCCCAGGAAATACGTGCCATCCTGGAAAAAATGAAGTAAAAGAAGAAAACAAGAGGATTTCAGAGTAAAGACTATCTGGATGAAGAAGCTCAATAAAAAGCTTTTATACACTAATTAAAAAAAAAAAAAAAAAAAAAAAGATGCCAATTCAACAATAGAAACAACTAGAAAAAGAATAATGTATACGTATCTAAAATAAGAGCCTCTGTAGTGTGGGTTCATCACATATTTGCCTAGAGGCTTTCAAGTCTCATTGCTATAACCCAACTGCTGCATTATAGTATTGTAATACGCTTGTACCACATACAGTAATGAATAGTAGTTGGGTCCATTGAGCTATCAAGATTGGATACCAGTTACGTTTTTAAGGAGTATTGTGCAGGAAAGACTTCCGGGTGGTGATGTTTGTAAAGGTGCGCTCGCGTGCAAAACAACCAATTTCACATTATTAAGATTCTCTTCTGTATACATACAATTTTCCTAAATGTTCACTTTCATGGACTTCAGAAGGCTTCTGAATAGGACAATTTCTGTTAATGTTTGTTTCTATTAATATTTGTTATGACAGTCATGGCATAAAGCACAGACGGCTGTGACCCGATTTCAGAAAATATTTATAGAAACAGCGGTTGATCTGCAGTCATTAAAAACTATGAAAGCATTTCCTATGGCTTCAGCTTTTTTCCCCCCCTCATTATTTATAAGCATTAGCAAAAGTTTATATTGATCCTATTAATTTCTAACAGTTGATTTTTAACAGATCAGAAATTTAATTGGTAATTTTTCTGAAGGACTTGTTTTACAGAAGGAAATAATACCTCACATTTATGTATTACACACGGAGAGTGCAAGGGAAACATTTCAAGGAAATCAAGGTTTAATTCATATCTTAAGAAAGCCTGACCTAAATACAGTAATTTAAATGGACTCAGTTATGTTCAAGTGTTATGGGGTAAGCAAAAAGCAGTGTTTACACCCTGGATTGTAAAACTAGACAGCTGCTACTACAATTACATACATGCATTACATACATTAAACAGAGGGGAACACATACTATAGCTGTATCTTCCAAAAGCACTGCCATACAAGGTTTTAATAATAAATATTCTCTGCGCTACAGATACCAAAATATAATGTCATTACAAAACATTCTGAAGTACAAATTTAACCTGGGCTTAAATGTTTTCTGCTGTGCCCTCTGCCATCACCCTGTGCACTGATACAAAATGATCAAAAGCAGATTTGATGATGAAACGCAAGTAAGTGGCTTGGAAATCAGGAAGCTGTAGAAGAAAAAGAAAATAGTTTTATTGCATTCTCTTTACTGCATTGTAATACCGTAACTATCAAACGCCTTTTGCAGAAGTTTGCTAGACAGAATGATCTAAATATTCCTGTGTCTATTTTCAAATTATGCATAACAAACCAAACTCTTCTAACACATCGAGCCAGATTCTTCTTTAGATGAAGGAAATTCAAAACAGCTTTGCCCCCCACCAAAATATTGCAGCCTTGAAGACAACAATTGAAGGAAGAAAGAATGTCACACCTCTGGAAAGAGCTCCAGCCTACTCAGAAGCAGTAGGCATGGGCAAACTCATATGATGATCTACAAACTCCTATATCTAACATCAGCTTAGCAACGATAACAAAAAACAATTATGTTTTGTCTTTTCATACTTTCTCCACAGTTAGCCTAGACATCCCATTCCATGAAACACTACTGCTGTATACTGGAAATACTCACTGGAAATTCTGCTGTTTGAAGCTCTCCTTCTGTGTATTGCAAATCTAGAAAATACATTTTTCAGCAAATAATGAGTAACAATGTACACTGCTGTAAAATATTTTCATTGGACTTCAGAGTTCATAAGCGTTTAAGGGCCGTGAACTTAAAACCGAATACAGAAATTTCTCTTTACAAGGTGATTAAAGAGGACAAATACTTTTTATAATATCCCAGTGTAAAAATATAACTCATTATACTGCTTCATAAAATATCACCCAAGGGGCATAAAAAAAAAGGGGCAGGAAATGGCATTGTACTACACCATATAAGTCTGTTTTTAATGTTTGGAACATAAAAGCAAGTGTATAAGTAATACTTTTGGCCCTAGTATAGCATCTAGGGCTGCATCTCCAAAGAACTAGCAGATGATCAGTCCTCATAAACTTCATTTAAAAGTGTCTGTTCAGTTAATGTCTAATAAAATAATCATCAAGCCCTGCTCGATAACAGAGCAAACAGACAAGGGTTAAAATGACTCACCCCAAAATCACAGAGTTTATCAATAACAATTAAAAAGCTGTTTTTATTTGTATAGCTCAACAGAACCTAACCGAAATCCAAACTTTTTTTTTTTTAAAAACACACTATGTATACTTTGTCAAAGATATCCATTTAAGTTTTAACCTTAGAAGAAAGTGTATCGTTTCTCAGGTCATCACTAGCCATCTAAAAATGCAGTTTGCAATTTGGGAAAATGGTGCTGTAGAGCACCAAGCTAAATGACAGGAAACCTGGCTATTTTTCGGTATGTTCATATTTTCACTTGATGTTCGAAGGAACCAATGTTATTTATACAAAACATGATGGTTTGCCCCCAGAAAAAGCATCACTGAAATTATTCAGGCAACTCAAGTGAAAAGGTAAATAAGTTACTGTGAGAATTACTCCGTGGCATAACACCATAAGCCATTTCTGCAGGAAAACAGGGAGTCCTGTTAAACATAGAATTAAAACACTAACCAATACTAACTGAACTTAGCAAAAGGAGTCTAGGTCATGAGGTGACCATGTCACCGGAGGGTGACAATTTGACTGTTCTCAGGTGCCTGCCGGGGTATACATTCCAGCCTTACCCTCTCTTGTTTTTCTATAAAAAAGTTTCCAGCTTCATTAGGAAGTTTTATTTTTGATGAGTTATCTTACCAGCAATAATAAGAAGGTTCAGTCAAAATCCTTTCTGGTTTACCTAGCACTAGCGTTGTTTTTCTAAAATTTAGAAATACTAAGTGAATCAGCAAACATAAAGATCAAGAAAATTCCCGCAAATCACAGCTGCTTCCGATTCAGATTCTTACCTTTTTCAATACACTGTTCAAAATCTACCGGTTCTTTAGATACACTTCTTTCAATCCTTAAAGTCCGCACTAAAACATACATACATTTCAAATATCAATATGGATTGTGGTTCTTTATTGACAGTGATCTTTACTGCAGCAATTTTCATCTTCAACGCATCATACCAGCATTTACTAATTCATTCTCCCACTCACTTAGAGATTAGGACTAATATAACCATCATCCACATTTTCCAGGTTGGGCAAACAAAGAAAAGTTTGAGTTTCTTTTGCTTAGCATCTGCTAGCGGTCAAACTCCTGACTCCTTGCTCTGATCTCGTAATCCTCGTGCTCCTTTCTGTCTTACAGCTCACATTTTCCTATTTAAAAATCTAACATTAAAAGAGTTCTGTCCTATAAAATTATAAAATCAAAACATTCAAAATAAAAAAAATCATTTAAGCAGCACGTACTGCAGCTGAGTACATTAAATGAGATTAACCATCACCGTGCTACAGAACAGATGAAGATAAGCTGGAGACAAAGGTATTATAATAACACAATAAACAAGCATGGGTGGGGTAGATTTGCCATCTTTTCCTCATACATTTATGAAAAACTTTGGACTCGGAGGGCTGCTGTTTTGTTAAGCTAGATCTTTATAAACGCGCTTAAAACAATTACTTACGGGATGCGACAAAACGGTGAGAAATTAGAGGTACGGAGAGACACACAGACACACACACACACGCACGCACGGGCACGCGCGCCTCAACCCAACACAGCCTGCGCTCTGCAGAAAGGGGCTCTCACCCAAGTAACACTGGACTGCGACTTTGCGGACTTTTACGCAGGCAGGAAAACCGATAATGAACTCCTGCGGGAACATGCCCGTCGTCGTCCAAAAGGTTTCTGAACGCCTGCGGAGCAAACAAAAGCACAACCTGCTGTTTTTCCCTTCCTAATTAGAACCCAAGTAACACTGGACTGCGCCTTTGCGGACTTTTACGCAGGCAGGAAAACCGATAATGAACTCCTGCGGGAACATGCCCGTCGTCGTCCAAAAGGTTTCTGAACGCCTGCGGAGCAAACAAAAGCACAACCTGCTGTTTTTCCCTTCCTAACTAGATAAATTCCCCCCCCCCCCCCCTCCCCCCCCCCCCCCCACAAAAAAAATTTAATTTCC